CGACGACCAATAGACCGCTAGATTAAGTACACTGCTGATACAGTTGTTGCACACTTGTTGTTTGTTAACTGAAGTGCACGTAGACGCTAACAACACGGACTACCATAAACCGGCTTTGTTGCCCTCATAGAGAACGATCGCATTTGCGATTTAATTTAAAATTTGCACAATGTGCACGCAATGACAAATTTGATTTGTAATCGGACGTGTGAATCCCGCTGATCCATTATGCACGACGAGAAAATTGGGGCATTTGTATAGTGTGATGTTTGTATCGTTTAATACTAATGGAAATTTCAAGTTTCAAGACAATTTTGATATATATTAAAATTTGATTGTTTTTACAATTAGAAGAAACGTAAAATATATTCGACGCAATTTTAGATATTCAAAATGGAATATGCAATATATTATAGAATATGTAATCAGTATGTTATTTACAATATCTAATAGATACCGCGCAAAACTAAAACAATAGTATATTATGATTAAATAGTAATAATATATCAAATATTGCTGTTTGTATACAAAAATTTCAATTATTTAACATTATTTTTAACAACGTTGTAAGCTTACGGAAAAACAATATTTTCCGTGTCAGAATTTTCCGCTCTTTCGCTCATGATTTTATCTGTGATAAAAATCCTTTCGACTGTATGCTAATCACCAGACTACCAACCAATTAAGGTTCGGAGCTCTGATCGTACAAGCCTTTTAGAGAAATTATCTGCGAGTACAGCGACGAGCTTCGATAAGGGCGATGAGCAGCAAGATGGTGATGTCGCGGCGCGCTTCTAAACGAAACGCCGGCGCTCATTTTCTTTGAATCTTTAATGCCCTAATCAGAAAACTCTGCACCTGTCGAGGGACGTCATACGTAAGGCAAGATTCGAAGAAAAATTGCTTCCTTGTTTCTGTTCTTCAGTCGGCACACACGTTGTTCCCAGTCAGGCGAAGGAACTTGTTTTTTTCCATATTTAAATGCATGCGCTTTGATCTAATTCGTTTGAGTGAGAGATTAGAAAAAGCCGGTGACTTCGGGGTTTTGAGCGTGAGTTCAACGCGAAGTTTTACGCACCTCTTTAAAGAATGAAGAGATCAGACGTCAGTCTTCAAGTGATTTATCTTTCTATCGCAATATTAATTATCGTGCCTATAACCAAAATAAAACCTACTCGGCGAATCTAAATCACTGATATCGCAAGAATCGTACAAAAAAACGGAAAAACATCCATATCTATTTTAAATATTTCTTTATGAAAGAAGAGCGTCTCCGCGCGTGCAATCACCGATAATGAAGTCGCAAGGGCACAATGATCGGTTGGGTCCACGTGGAGCGTGGCGAAGGCTCGACAGAATGACTCCTCCCCAAGGATGATGATGACGTGCGGCGAGAAGAGCAGCGGGACGGGGAAAAAAACGGCCGCGGTTTTTACGCGGCCGGCGTGGCGTATCGAGATATCGAAAGCCCAAGCTCCGCCCGTTCCGCAGGAGTCCGGGGTCCACCAATGAAGATCTGAACTCGCCGGCCAGCACGCGACCAGTTGGGCTAAGGGCAAACGTAAACTCACCGATCGGCAAGATAACTGGTGTTTAACACGCGAGCCGAACCGCCATTAAGCCCGGCCCACCGTGCGATTTCCGCGCGCTCGCTCGCTCCACCGTCTCGCGGCGATTGATTTACGGCCTGCACCGGCTCTTCTTCCCGCGGAAAGAGAAGAAGAAGAAGAAGGGACGAGGAGACACACGCATACGCGTGCGTGGCATCCGCTCTCGGAAGGTATTCTCGTGCTGTTCGTGCAGCGTCGAAGTTCGTTGCACCGGCTGAGAGCGGCGCGGCTCTCAGGTGAGTCGCGGCTTCCAGCGACGTGCTTATTCGTTGAATATTCGACAATGCCGCAACGGCTGCATTCTATTGTCAGCGTATCTTATCACCTTCTCACAGATCCATCGATACCCTGAAAAGGTTCTCATCGGAATATCGTTATTCTTGATTCATTTCTAATCACGCGCTCGCTCGCTATATAATTCATGTCAATTGTTACGTCAATGGCCACTGCAATCATCGAGAGTATATCCAGCGATTGCCCATTGTTCCAACATTAGTCCCCTTTGGCCATTTAATGTATCAGCAACGACCATGCGGATATGTACAATGGCCGTCACAATATACATATGTATGTAAATCCCTTTGATAATACTGACCGGAAGAACCTTTCGGCATTTGTTAAACTGGCAAATAATGTTTGACAATAGTAGTTGTAAAAAAATATTTTTAATAACAGCATCTCGATTTCTTTCTTGACGCAAAGGTGAAAACAGTGAATATATATGAAGAGAATACTTTTGAAATATCTAAAAATTGTATGAGATCTGAAAATTTTTCTTGGACAAAATTTATCAATAGAGCACTCGAACTTTTTACCGCGATTTATGATCTCATTTTGTTCCATCAATCAATCGAGTACTCCATTGATCAATTCTGATTGTGCAACAAATATTATTTTCAGATCTGTATCTGGCACAATTTTTAGATATTTCAGCAAATCTTCTTTTCGTGTGCACAAATATTGAATAAAAGTTGAAAAAATAAAATGTGAAAATACAGCAAAAATTTCTTTGATATCGAAATATCATTGTTATTACTTGAGCGAAACAAATCGTGAAAAATTTGATGAAATTCGATTAATCGCGCAGACGTCGACGCGTGCAAAAATTTTTCGGCAAAAATATGAATTATGTACAACGCTATCGCTATGTGTATACACATAACGTTAGCAGCACTATTTTAGTTCCGGTTTTACGCTCGCTCCGAAGATGATCGCGCAATAACAGTTTGGCGAAAAGTTTGCCGCCTCGTTTTGCAGAAATGCGGCGGATAAGTGTTAGCCGCGTATCTACAAAGCGATGGTTAAAATTCAGTCGCGGCCCGAAGCCGCCCCCTCATAAAGGAAGCGTCGGTTCATAAATTGCCCCTTCCTCCTCTTTCCTCCCACCTCACCCGTGGCGCAACGATCTCAATTTTGAGGGTGCCAGCAGGAAACTACCACCCTCGACAAAACTTACTGAATTCATTATAGGACGAACAAAGGCACCACCGAGGAGCCTCAGGCGACGTGCTCGCATGCCGCGGTAGGACGATGTAGTGTAGGGCCCCAATGTGCGAAGGGCCACACCCCCCCCCCTCCTCTCTCTCTTCCTCTCGCGAAACTCTCTTTAAAACGCAAAAAATCACTTGTAATGCCGTACCGCTAATAAGTGACAATTGCCTGCCATTAAAAGTGTCGATCGTTGCGCGATGAAAATGAATGCTTTTTCTGAATACAATCGAAGTTGGGGAGGAGTAAAACCAACGAGAAAAGCGAAGGGAACGAATAATAACTAATAAATGCGACTTAAAAGCACGATTCCTCAACATTTAGTCAAATTTTCTCTACTGCACAGAGTGTCTTGGACGTGCATTCTTCCTGCGATAATGGATTATCAGTTTTCAAAAATATTTTAACACAAAAAACTTTAAGTTAAATGATTTCTAAATCTATTTACACTCTTTGTCTGTCAAAATTGACTTAATAATGAGAGCAAACGCATTTTGTTGTTCATTTTCCTAAATTTCTTCAAAAATAGTTTTCTAACATTCCAATTTTCCAAAAAGTAATGTGAAAGTGGAGAAATGTAGCGCATCAAATCCATTAAAAATCACAAAGAGGGTAAATGTATATGTTAAAAATTTGAGGATATTTAATGAAGTGTGACAATGATATCAATAAGGACGTTAACATTTCGTTAAATTCAACGAAATGTGCCGGAGTATATTATTTTACGGCGAATGCTCGGATCTCAGGATTTCATTCCATCCGCAATTTGTGGTATTTGATTCTACGGAAGGTATGCACACGAAATCGGCATAATCGTGTTTGTTTCGCATTACCTATCTTGCGGGCGTGCAACGCTGGCGGAGGAATGCGGTCCGATTATTCGAAGGAAGCCGGAGGATCCGTCCCAAGATCTTTGCAACGATCGAGACGTCAGAATCGCCGATAACGTCGTTCGAAAAACCCGTCATGAATTCTTCATGCCATACCTTGTACAGAAAAACTCTGCGGCGAGTCCGAAAATTTTCAACCCAATCGGCAAACGGTTGACAACGCGGATATTCATATAATATTTAACTCAATTGCGATTTATTAAAATTCATAATTAAAGTCGGTCAGTTGCCAAATTTTCTAGGAAAATATGAATTTTAATCCTGTTCAAAGAATTTTATAAAGTTTAACAAACTAGCAGAAAAAATAATTAGCATAAGTTATAGTAATAGAATAAAATTTTTTCTACCCACAACTTGCTGTTTACAAGTTTCCTTAACGCACAGACGTATCTAATTACATCGGAAGCCCTCTTTGGCACATTTTTTTTAATGTAAAATGATAAGGGCCAGCGAACAAGAGCATTGAGCACCGTTGCCGGAAAAAAAAACTGACTTTTCACGTCCGTAAGGCAAAACTCATCGCGCGCCGACAGGTGTGTAAGATCGTTTAAATCGCCGGATCAAATTCGGACGTTCCTTCCTTATGATCGAGGGAATGATGAAACGCATGCGAATGTGCAAGCAGATGCTACGAGAGAAAGGCGAGAAAGCGTATTCGCGCATTTCTGTATCTTCGAAACAGCAATAATCAATTACCAGACATACAATTTTAATAAAATTCTAATTGAATAAAGTAATTTGTCATATACTTATATTAATGATGTTAGCTTTTGTAATATCTTATTTAAAATAAATTGCAGCTTGTTTACCAAGTATCAAACAACCCTACTTTTATACACGTTATTTTAAAAAAAAACGCTGACCTTGATAAGATTATTATAGAAGATAAAGACTACAAAATAAAAAATAATTAATAATATTTTTTATCATGATCTAATTTTATGTTAAAAGTAATGAAAAGGCATTTAGATTTCTGAAAGGGAAAAGTTGAAAAGCTCTGAGAGTCTCCGAGTTATGGAAGGCAAATCGACTTTTTTTTATTGGCACCCCTCTTTCTCTCCCAAACACGCTTATTGTCTGATCTCGTAACGCTGCGAACTCGATCGAATTTCACGGTGTCGGCACGAAGAGATCTCAGGAAGTAGGCCATCTTTTTTATTGCGCATCTTTTCAACGCATCCGCCGTAGATCACAGCTGCGGACGATCCATCGGCTGACCGGCAAATCATTTCCATTTTCACCTGTTTGGAAAAAAATATTGTTAAAGAACAGAATTCACTCTTTTCATAATAGCTATGTTTTCTTTCTAGAATATTTAAATGCACTTTGTACATCGTTGTCTATCTGTTTTCTTTCTCTTTAAAGACTATTTTTTTTATTTTACATCAAACGTAGAAAGAAAAAGTAAATATATTTGTTGAAAAGAATAAACTGAATTATTTCTCAAGCAGTTGTATTGCACAAATCCACTTTTAATGTCCACTCGAGACTTTTTTTTGTTGTGTAAAAAAACCTCATGAGAAAATGATATAATTAGTAGATTAAACATCTATAATATATATAATATTTAATATTATTATTTTATATATCTAAAATATCTTGAAAGAAAATATTATTTCCAAACTGAAAAAGACACAATTTTTTTCCCATAATTCACCTTGCACTTATATTTATAAGCAGCTTATAAATAGAGTTGTTGTGTTTAATTTTGAGAAATAATCACAAAATTACGCTCGATTCAAGAATGCAAAAAGAAAAAAAGTACAATACGCACACTTGCCCTACATTTCGTACCTTACTTAGCTTGGTTAGTGAAATTCACTCTTAGAAGAGAAAAGCAATGCTGGAGAAACGCACGTGACTCAAGATTCCGCTAGAAATCCGCTGCAGAATCCCCATGGAATCCACACGAGCGAATTGCCTATTTCTACGATGCTGTCGGGGGCGCCGTTTCTCCACCCGGCGTTTATCGTCCGCCAAAGCCAGAACCGCCAAAGCGAGAGCCGCACACATACTTGCGCAGCTACTTAGACCGGTATTACACCGTCTGCGTGCCGGGTTCCATAAGGTTGGCCGATTATTGATGAAGCCGCGGCCACGCGAGGCGCATCCTGCTCGCGAGAATACAGTTATGATTGCTACAAGCAGCGATGGCGAGCTTTATTAACGTGAGAAAACATGGCTACCTTCCTCCCCCCCTCTCTCTCTCTTTCTTCTCCCCCTTTCTTATTGTTATCCCGAATTAGCACGAAGCTCGATGATAAATATCGCTCTGCGGAAATTGTAAATCCATTCGAAACGCGGCAACGGAACGCTTTTCAATGTAAAATAAAAAGATGGGGCTTATCAATGATGACATACTCGTTGTGACACGTGAATGGCTTTCGTGATTAGCGATCGATCGCGTAATGAAAATTAATTTCCGTCATATCGCCGCGTTAACACGACGCGGTCATTTGTTTTCCATCTCAAACGGCCGACGACGACAACAAGAGACCCAATGATGAACCGGGAGAGGACAGCGGGGCCGCATTCCATCGAGCCGAGAGATTTATTTGTCGAATAAATGTTGAAGAGGTATTTTTAATGGCTGACAATAGTGGTCCGATAGTGATCTGAGAAACGTATTGTCGCTGAACGTCGTATATAATCCCGGAGGCATCGACGCAGCCAACAAAACGGACACATAGCTGTACCCCTTCCCTCCCCTCCCCACGCTCGCTCTCTCTCGCCAGGGTCCCACCTTCCCATTAAGACTATCTCTTCCTTCTCTTCTCTCATTAATTTTTTTCCTTTTCTCTCTTATCAGCCCCAAGGAAGAACTTACACGATTTCTACACGATCATCGAAATTGAATGCGTTAGGCGGCTTTTTTTAGTGAACCATTAAGGGAGAGCTACTTGATGTAATCCGATGCATTCCGACGCGAAGCGACTAAGATATGTGTGACCGCTATTATTAATTCGAATCCGAAATTGTGTAAATCAAGCTAATCAGACAGAAATTAAGGGTGACAGAAATTGATCAAATGTTACGTGCACATATTTCGCGTCGAAATATATTTAAATATATTCACATTTCCATTGAATTTCGTGCCGACAGGCAGATTATAAGCTGCTGGGAAGATACTGAACTGAAAAATACCAGCACGGTGGATATTTCAGGATGAAATATTATTCGCGCATTTTATTTTGATTACCGGAAATCATTCAAATACGAACAAAAGTGAAATGCAGTTCGACTTGACACATTTTTGCGGAAACACAATTTCCACGATTCACTTTTCTTTCAGTTCGGAGGACTCATCCGGGATGATCATCCGGAGTGAATCGTGTAAATTTGCCTTGAGAGAGAGATTCTTTCATGCCCTCCTCGCGCCATGATCTTTACTTGTTCTCGCTTTCTCGATCCACGTTTATTTTACCAATGCCTCCCCCCCCCTTCCTCACGCTCTCTCTC